CTCCCTAGCCCTTCTGCTTTGTGAGTATGGGGAGGGGGATAATGGTGCAGCCTGCACGAGAGTCCTCACCCACGTAGGCTGTGAGGCTGATCTCAGACTTCTGGGCTCCAGAACTGTGAGAAATAGATGTCTGTTGTTTATTAGCCATCCATCCCGAATTAACACAGGGCAGACGTGGTGGGGAGAGAAAGGGAGACACTTCAGGGCTTCCGGGGAGCTGGCCTGCGCCTCCCAGGCAGGCATCAGGGCCTGTGGCGGGCTCCTTCTCACTTCCTCACTTCCTGTAGCTCTTCCCTAGTGGCACAGCCCCTTTCTTCTCAGAATGGAACTAGATGGCACTTTCCCTGCTGTGAAGATTAATTGGTATTGTTCTGAAAATAAAAAGGTGTCAGAGGACTTTTTCTGAAGTGAGGAGAGAACCTTCCTTCAGCCTTGGGGGCCCGAGAGGCCCTGTCAGAGGCCCGTGGGAGGCTGTCACTGAGGGCTCGAGCCCCGTCTCCCTGAGGCTCTGCGCCCCGTCTCCCTGAGGCTTTCCAAATATCAAATACCTGCCCAGCGTCATTAGGGGAGAGATGCGGGCTGTCTGGGATTATGGCCCAGCTGTGGTAACTTGAGCACATCCTTTGTAGTCTTATCACCCACTCCCATCCCAGGTGACAGCTCAAGGTGTGAGGCTGGTCCCCCCAAATAGCATTTCCTTGTACCCTTTAGTCCTTCTCCTTTCTTTTCTCCCACAGATTCTGGACACACTGGAGCCCACACTTTGTGCAGGTAGAATATCGAGTAGGATGGACAGAGGTTCATTTTCTAGGACTTGCTTAGGGAAATGGAAGAGTGTGGGGGAAACCAGCCTGCCTGGGACAAAGGCAGTGGGTGGCAAGCTGAGAGGGAGCTCTGCTGGCCACTGTCTGGGACCTGGGGGCTTGTGAGAGTGGTGAGAAGACTGGCGCTTGGAGACCCCAGAGGAGAGATGTCTATGCTCACACCAGTGACGTCTTCACAAAACAGAGCCTGTTGTAGGATGCTCACCAGAGTCCAGGCTCTTGATAGGAGATCTGCCCCAGCCCTCAGCCATCCCAAGGGGAGGGAGATTCCCCCCAGGAAGGAGTGGAGAAGACACTGCTGGGAGGAGTCGAGTTCAAGATGAGCGTGGGGCCAAGCTGGCTTTCCTCAGAGGAACTCGCAAGAAACGCTAGAATCAGAATCTGTAGAAACGGTCGAGATGAGTAAGAAGCGAGCATGACCATCCAGTGCTTTGAGGCCGTCAACCAGGTGCTCACACATGGAGCAGCTAAAAAAGGGATGCCAGGGCTCTTTGCAGGGTCTCCACGACAATGCATAAGAATTCTCTTATTCTCAATAGTCCCTACCTCCACCTCTATAGCAGTTTCTTTTTGACCTGTGCATTTTACAATAATTGCCATAATAATAACATTTCTGAGCGCCAGAATTGTAACAGTCGCTGATGGCTAGTGGGCTGCTGCTTTGTTGGCGTGTGTTGTAAAGTACCCACAAAGCATGGTACCGCTGGCGCCCTCAGCTCCATCAATGACAGCTCCCCCAACATATTTGTATATACATTAATTTCCTCCTCAGGAAAATGTGGGTTTTTGGTTTCACTTCATTTGAGTCCCAGGTGCTTTGATGGTGTGGGAGGCGGTGTACCACATGTGAGATGCTGAGAGCCACGCAGGAGGCCGAGGACTGCAGGGCTGGGCCCGGGCCCTTGCGCGGCGGGGGCTGGGCTCCTGGCAGGCGCACAGTGTGAGGCGCTTAAATTCTAGGACAGAGCTCCTGACTTCCAGTCCAGAGTATAGTCTTAGGGCAAGTCCCAGAGTAGAATGGCGGCTCTCTCCAAGGGACTGTCTACACAGGGCCTGGGTGGATGTGGAAGGGCCCGAAAGACCTAAGCTCCCAGCCCCTAGGTCTTGTGCATCAGAGACCCCAAAACCCCTCTCGTTTTGGGTTTTAGACTCTATCTTGGGCAGTTCAGGCTGCTATAATAAATACACTATGTCCTGGATGGTTAAACAACCAACATTTATTTCTCTGATTCTGGAGTCTGGGAGGAAAGATCATGGTGCCGGCAGATCCAGTACCTGGTGAGGGTCCACTTCCTGGCTCTTCTAGCTTCTTGCTGCATCTCACCTGGCAGAATCCCATCCATAGTGCTCTACCCTTGAGACTTAATCATTTCCCAAAGGGCCCACTGTCTGTATCATCGGCTGGGAGGTTAGATTTCAACGTACAAACTGAGCCTTTCCAGCTGCTCATCTCCAGCTGCTCACCTTTGCACATCAGGATGAACCCCCCCCAGGCCCGAGTCCCTGTGCATCCCAGGATTTCCTTTCTCCCACATCCTGGGAGTCTATTTTGAGTTTGGGTTTTTTTTTTTTAAGATTTATTTATCTATGCTTAAAAGCACTGGGGTACAGGCCAGAGGTGCGGGAGGGTGAGAGGATTCACCAGAGACAGAGTGGGAAGCAGAACAGACAGATGGACCAAAAACACTGCTGAGCAGCGGGCGAGACAGGAGAGGTCTGCCACGCCATGTGGGTCTCTCCCTAGCTAGTCAGGAGTTGAACCTGTGCTGCCGAGGCTGCGGACAGCTTCACAATGCTGCTCTCAACACGCTGCACCACCAGGGAGGCCCGAGTTTGGGTTTTGAATGATGTCAGTTTTCAACCTGAGAGTAGGATGTGATATTAGCACAGTGATGGGGAGCTGATGGGAGCCCAAGTATAACTGCTGAAAGGCTATTTTTACAGAAATATTTCTTTGGTATTAAAAAAATTGGACCATTTGGGAAGTTCTTGGGAGTCTTTTCTCTTGCTTTCTGGTCCACTTGGAGAGATCTTCCATGGCCTTGGCCAAAGATGGGTCCTGAGTCTAAGTGGACCGGGGCTGGTTTTCACCAGCCGAGAGAGGCGCCACATCTCTCCCTATCTCCATGTGCTGTGATGTCATGTTGAGAGTATTGACACCCCAGAAATCTGCAAATACTTCATATCACCCCCCCCCCCACCCAGAGTCAGTTGCTAAACACTCACCAGCACATCACAGCTCCTAATTAACCTCCACTTACCCATCTTGCTGTGCTAACTAACCAGTGTTCTTTTCTCCTACCCACTGACCAGTGCCCTCAGCCTTCCGAGGCTCACAGCTGTTCCAATCAGGGAAATTGCATGCTTATCAAGAGCCAATTACACTTGTCCCAAACCTGCTCATGCAAACTATATTTGTTATAGCAATTATGGAATTAGGTAAATATTGCAGTACTGATGGAGTATGAGTACGAAAGTAATAGAGTTGTCATTTCCATGGAAATTAAGTTAAATACTTGGGAAAGACTTAATAAAGGCAAATTGCTTAAAAACTGCTGTCAAATTGAGCGCAGGCAAAGCAACTATAAAATTTTAGGAAAGATTAAATAAATCTGGGAGGATTTTGGGTTTCAATTGCTCTGAAGTGTCTTTAAGTTCTTATTCCACTTCAAGTAAATAAAACGGCGATTTGGAAATCAGATGGAGCTCCAAGCAGTGAGCATGTACCCAAAGAACGGGGGCACATTTGCACAATTTAAAGGTACACTCTGGGGCTGCATGTGTGGTTGGGTCATCTCTTATGATTCCACATTGAATCAACTTGTTGGAGATGCCAGGTCATCTGACCCCCTCTTGTTGGATGAGAGGTTTCTATTGTGACCTGTGTTGTCCAGTCATCTCAGGCATACTGTGACTTCATTTGAGGCAGATTTAGCCATATGATCTCAGCTCTGCTGCCACAAGGGTTTCTACTTGTCCCACACGTGGACCAAGCTGACACCACTTTGCTAGTTTTCTAGTCCTCTGCTTTTCTACTCTCTGCCATTCATAGTTCTCCCTGACTTTTTCTCCCCTCCCTAAATGCCTCTGCTCACACAAGCTTCCTTCTGCATGGCCCATCTCCCATCCCATGACAGGTTAACTGCTACTCAGTCTTTCAAACAAATTTCAATTGTCACTTTCTTCATGAATTTTATCCTATCTCCTGGCCAGAGTAGTTACATCATCCTTCCATTCTCAGATGATTTGATCAGTGTCTCCATTTTTCATATGGAAAAACAGTTATTTATACCATAAATCTGGGGATCTGGAAGGTACATTAGAGATGCCTGGCATCTACCTCCTAAATTTTGTAGGTGAGAAAACGGGGCCAGAGTTCTGGCATGGCTAGTTCAAGATGGCCCAGGCAGTGAGTACAACAGAGAGCAAAACTGAGGGTGTGTGTGACACTTTGCATCTTTCCTGGCCCTCAGTCACTGCATTTTGCATGTAGTACGTGTTCTACTTATTTTTTTCTTTAAGATTAGATTTACTTGATTCCATCCTAGAGGCCCACTTTTTAAAATATGTTCACATTGGAAGGAACTATGTATTCACTGGAGATAATTGGGAAAATACAACATGATCTGAAGAAGAAAATAAGAGCTTCCGTACATCTTGCCCTTCAGATAAGGATTTTTAGCATTTAGGATCATTCCCTTCAGATTGTGTTAGAAAAAAAAAAAAAAGAAATCAAACAAACCAGCATTATGCATAGAAAAAAATACTTGAAGAAGGAAGTGTTTTTTGATTGAGTAAAAGAAGTTGAGTATTCCAGATGGTATCTGATTCCTATCCACTACCCATCCACTCAGGAAATGAGAATCTGCTGGGGCAGACCCTATACTCGACACTAGCGGTTCGGAGATGAATTACATATTGCAGGTGCCTGCCCTTGAATGTTTCAGAATCCAGTAGAGGAACCAGGCATAAAAACAGATAATCACAATGCAGGCTGACAATGGAGAGATGAGCAATCTAAGACAGTATGTAATTACACGCAACATTACATGACATGGATTTTATGGTCTGTAATAGTGGACTGCGCTGGTTTATAATTTCTGTTATCCAACCAAAGGCCACATAACAATGACCAGGGAAACTTTCTTTAAAGGTGATTGTTCGTAAAGAGGAAGTAATTGGAATTTCACAAAGCAGTAATTACAAAAGCAGGAAAGGTTACTATGGTATGTTTTATAACTGTAATCAAAAAAATTGCAGGAGGACTTAAAAAATGTTCCATTAATTAATGCCATTAAAGGTTACTGTCTGAGATGTAAGATAGATGAACTCAAAATCACACCTAATGAGAAGTTGGAGGGATTTGAAGTTGCTGTCAGCAAGCCGGCATTCTCAGAAATCAAACGCCTCTTGTCTCTGTCTGGTGTTTATATTGTAGGACTCAATCATGATCCTTGGCTTTGTCATGATTGTAAAAATCACATGCTATGCCCTCTGGTTATTAAGAATGATCTTTTGCGTTATTGAGCTACTTTAAAATATTCACAAGACTTTGGCAATTGTTCCACTAGCCTGGTTTTTATTTTAACCTGTCAGGTCAGTTTTCTTGAACCTGATGCCTTTCGCCATGTGGAGTAGCTGGAGCGCTGTCAGAGGAGGTTGTCAACATGACGGAAGTGAACAGGGACAAGAGTGACGAGAGAAACCAGTGTAGGTGGGAGCGTGGTCTCCCAGGACAGCACAATTTCAAATGCCGCCCGGCTTCTGGGGATAAGAGAATAATTGGTCTCACTGCGTATCCCTGAGGCGCTAGGAGTGCATTTCCATTTCTGCAGCAGTAACCTGGAGAATCTCCTGCTCGGAATATGAAGGTCTCTTCTTTTGGAAAACAGCAACAGCTAGTTCTTGAGGGGGAAACACAATTCTGCCCAGCAAGATGGCGGCAGGTAAATTGGGTGACCTGGGCCTTGCTGTGGGTGAGTCACTTCCCTAAGCCCTTTCTTCAGCCCCCAGTAGAGACCAACAGGTCTTTCACTGCTTCATAGAGGCTGTGATGTGTTGTCTCAGGACCTTCATAATTTGGTCACATAATTGCCAGGAGAGAAGGGTCAGTGCCTTATCGTCATTTGCTTTGCAGGCATCTTTCCCATCACCATGTAGTGCTTGGTCTTCTGGAAAATGGGCATAATGCCATTTGCTTGAGAGATCTTTAAAGATGAGATTTTCTGATGGATTTTTTTTTTTTTGTAATGTCACAGTATCTTGCGAGGCTCACCCTTTGATTTACCTCCTGTGAGAGTAAGTGAACTACAAGGGACACCTGGTTCTTATTTATGGCTCCTCCCAAGCCTTTGACCTTGCCTCCATGCAAACCAAGACTTCCAGGGTGAGGAGGCGGTGGGCTCAGGGGCTCCAGTGGAGGCTGTGGCTGGTGTCTACCCCAGGACTGCAGGGATCCCTCCCTGGCTGCAGACTTGCTTCTCTTCTCTCAGTGCTCTGACACGAGGGATGTCTGGTCTCCAGTCCTGGGTGCTTCCGGGCTGTGGGCCACAGGGGAACTTCGAAACATGCTCAGAAGGCCCTTTGAAGGGACACCAGGGGTTCACGGTGCCTGCAGAGACAAGGTGAGCAAGCGTTATTTCCAACCATTTAGCCGTCCCTTTGCTGCTACATGCTTGGCTTGCTTCGCTTTTAGCCCGTTGGGATACATCAATCAAATGTTGTTTCTGTGGTCAGAGCTTGGTGCTCTGGGTTTTAGTGGCCTGCTGCTGCTATTGCTTTGGTTCTGAATTTGTTCTCTCTATTTTAGGCTGTGGGAACAGCCCCCTGACTTCTTTCTGCTTCAGTCTTATTCCCCCTCCCCCTTCCCCGGCCATGCTTGTCATTGCTGTCTGCAGAGCTGCTGCGCTCCCCCCAGGGGCCCTGCTCACATTATATGCTATGGAGCTTTGGGGGCACCACTGACTGAAGAGATGATGTGAAGGGAGCTCTCCGGAGTCTCACAGTGCATCTGGGACTGACTGACAGACTAAATTTTCTAAAATATCAATCTTTCCTATTAATCTTCCTTTATAAGGCCTTACAAGGGCTCCCCAATGTCTGCAAGACTCAACCCAAATCCTTAGCTTGTCCAGAAGACTTCCAGAGCTGACTCTTGCAGCCTCTCCATCATCTCCATCTCTTTAGCTCCCTCAAGCTTGTCATTTAGCCACCCCAAATTCTTTGCAACTTTCAGATGCTGATAGCTGTGAATGTCCTCTCCTGCCTTGCATGTGTCAAGACCCTCTATACCTTCTCCCTGAGTCTGGTGCCAGTAACATCATCTAAGTGTATCTCCAAAGCAGTACTGCAAGCCCATGCTCACCATCTGATTTTTATTGCACTGTGATGTCCTGGTGGGAGGAGACTATGTCTCATCACTGTATCCTCTGGGTCTGGAAAATATGTAATCTGGAATCAACATAATAATTATCTGAGAAAGAAATGAATGACATATGAAACAACCAGAGACTACCAGGGCCTCAGAGTCCACCTGGAAAGATATCGCACACCTGAGAGGAACTCCATACCTGGGGAAACATCATACACCTGAGGAGATGTGACATACCTGGAGAAACCTCATACCTGGGGGACATCATACACCTGGGGAGTCATTGTCATCACACATTTGCGCACTATGCTGTGAGCTGTGGGCCCCAGGTTACTCAAAGAGGGAATTCTATAGGCAGGAGTATTCAGGGATTCTTTCCTGTGATTCTAGAACTTAGAGGATCCTCAGGGACCACTTCTCTCCCTTGTCCCATCCATAGATGAAGAATCTGAGGTTCTGGGAGAAAAAGAGAATGGCTTGAGGTCACTTGGAGAGTTGACTGCAAAGTAAGAAATAACATCTAGCCCCCTTGATTCCCAGTCCACGATTATAAAGAAAACTCATCAAGCAGGCATTTTGATGTTTTCCTGTAAATAATTCAGGAGGAGGGGAATAAAACACAACAGAATTTTGTTACTAAATATTGATGCTGTAGCTGCTACTTAGAGGAGATTGCATGTGATGTTTTCAATTAGATTCTCTTTATCTGCCTTTAGAAGCTACTTTTTTTTTTTTAAGACAAGATTGTAGTGCGTTATTAACACTGACAGCTCCAGTATTCACATTGTGCTTCTGAAGGCATCAGGGGGAGATACTGATCTATCAACATAATCCTCACAACGAGCATTATGCTGATTTCAGATGAGACGGGCAGGAATTGCTGTCTTGGCGTTGCAGTAGAAACATCCGCATATGCTTCAAAGTGGGTGTTCAATCCATCTGCTCTCCGGGTGTCTGCGCCACTAGAACAGTGGAGAGCATGTGCAGGGAGAGCAGAGCTTGCAAGGTGGTGAGAGGAGTGATTTCAGCTGCAGGGGCCAGCAAAGGCTGTTCTCTGAGAAGGGGTTCTGGGGATTAGCATATCATGGACTCAGTGTTGCCAGGAAGAGTGACATCTAATACACCCAGTGCTTCCTATGGGATCGCATCATGTGTAGGACGGAGCAGTCATTCTCTGATTCCTCACAGCAATCCTGCCAGCTAAGTGCTATTACTTCCTGTAAAGGAGAGCGTTAACCCCTATGATCCGCATTGCTGGTGTATGTGCCCTTCATCATCCCTGGTCTGTGAATGTGAGGGGTGGCATTTCTGTGATTAGATGTGTTATATACAATGTAGACTGAAAGAAAGGGAAATTAGCAAGGTGGGATTGACCTAATCACCTGAATACATTAAATTAAAAAAAATCTGGTTCTAGAGTCAGAAATGGGTGAATTCAGAGATACGTAGTATGAGAAGGAGTCGATGGGAGGAAATTTCTGCTGGCTTGGCAGACAGAGGGCCACAGGCAAGGAGAGCTGAGACATTTTCTAGTAGTTGAGAGTGACTCTGGCTGGGAACTGAGAGGAAGACAGGAATTGTGCGTTGTTCTCGAGTGACAACTGGCTGAATTTGCCAACAGTGTGAATGGCCCTTGAGCTCCAGATAAGAACGCAGCCTCTGATCCTTTGTTTTCAGCTTTGGGAGACCCTGAGCAGAGAGAGAAGCCATGTGTACCAGCAAGTGTGAAAGCAGCAGGCCTAGACATAGCAAAGGCAGGGGATGTCCCTTGGCCTGGGCTTCACAAACTTGACTGTATGTTAGAATGACCTGGAGAGATTTTAAAAATCCTAAGATGCAGATCACACCCCAGACCAAGCCTCTCCAAATCTCTGAGAGTGGCGCCATTGCAACAATCCTTCTTAAATGCCAGGGGTAAAGCCAACATGCAGCCAGGGTTAAGAAAGACTGATGTCCATGGTCAACTTGGGGCAGAAAACTGTGGAGAGACACGGAAGGTCTAGCAGCTGAGATGGGGGAGTTCTTTTGGACTTTTGCTGTTGCTATTCTGGTCCTGGCCACCCAGTTAGTCTTATGACATTAGTTTCCAAATTTTTAATCATTGTGCTGACTTTTACGCTCCAGGGGAGGAAGCTGTGCTTAAAATTCTGAGTGCGGTTGGAGCAGTGCTGGCCTTGGTGCAGCCATCACGACCACATTCTAGCTGGTTTAGGGGCACAGAGCAGGGGGCTTCTCACACCTGAGTACATCATAGTCATCCAGAAAACCTTGTTAAAACACAGAATCCTGGCTTTACCCCTATCGTATCTGATTCTTATGTCTGGATGGAGCCAAAGGGTTTAGATTTCTAGCAAGTTTCTAAGTGTGGCTGATCTGGGGAATCACACTTAGAGAACCACTATGTGGAGCTCTGGGATTGAAACTAGACCATCACACAAGCATGAGATCTTGGGGTGATCCTTGCGTGTGTCCATTTTATCTTTCACTGAATGAGTGTGGTCGCAAAGTCTACAGCATAGTATGTGGTGTGGATGCAGTGGGACCATCCTGCAGGAATTCAATGCAGATAAACTTTCAGTGATGTTGACTATTACTTTAGTCATGGTTCTTCTCTTGGCATGATTTTCAGAGACTCATTCATGATAGTCTGAGAAAAGGAAAAGAAAGAAAAATAAGCAAATGTATTGGTTTATAAATGTGCTGGCCAGGGGCTGGAGTTGCTTGGGTTCCAGAGGCTTCATCTCTGTATTTCTGCCCCTTCCAGGTGAGCTTTTTATCCTCCCTTGGAGATGAGGATGCCTACGGTAGGTGCAGGCTGCTGTCGTCTTTGTAGCTACCATCCAAGACTTTTCCAAGCACGTCACTTCTATGGGCCTATGTCCACTCTGCATTTGTGCTGTGATTTGGGGTCTCAGATGTGGGAGTTAACATTTATTCCATCTCAGTTTCATGACACGATTCATTTATATCTCTAATCTCTTTAAAATTTTCTAGTTCCCGTATATCAATATTGTTCTAGACCTTCCTCCTCATGGCATCCACAGACATAGAGACAAGTTTTACTGACCAAAGTTCACTGATGCAGACACCAAACACTTCAAAACGTTATGGCAGGTCACAGAAACCTTCTTGCCCAACTCATTGATTGTGGACTGAAGAGAGCCGTTGTCCAGTGCCTTCTTCCAGTCAAAACACTTTGCTGTAGCACTTCTGCTGGTGTGGTGATGTAGCTAGAAGGGAAATGCAGAACATCTGTATTTGCCTTTCTTTTTTTTAAAGATTTATTTATTTTTATACAAGAACCAGGGTACAGGCCAGATGCGCGGGAGGGTGAGAGGATTCACCAGAGACAGAGCGGGGAGCAGAACAGGCAGACGACCAAAATACACTGCTGAGGGGAGCAGTGGATGAGACAGGAGGTCTGCCACGCGATGTGGGATTCTCACTGGATGGTTGGGATCGAATCCGTGCTGCAGAGGCTGCAGACAGCTTCACAGTGCGATTCTCAACTGCCTGTGCCACCAGGGAAGCCCCTGTATTTGTCTTTTAGGAGCCAAACAGATTGTTGTTCCCCACCCTGAGTGCCCACAAATCACTATTTTAACCCAGCTATTTCCTAAGATTCATGGTAAGCACAATTCTCTGGAGTTTGGAGAGCCTGCCTTCTAGTTTTTGGAAACGAGGATTGCACATGCCCCTCTGCAGGGACCTGGGACTGGGCTGCTTGTCATTGTTCTAAACAGAAGGAGGTGACAGGTGCAGAGCAGGTGCCATGGGCTTCACATGGGGGCAGGCTTTCCCCATGTGCTATCTTTCTGGATCTTCCATCATTGTCCTTTTTCTTAGAAAAGGACACATTTTCTGAGAAAATTTGAATATTAGATAACTCAAGTCACATTCCCAAAGATTAAGTAACATGCCCATTTTCACAAATGAGCAAATGTTCAAAGTGTCCAATGTAATAGAGTTTTAATAAATTGAGAGCTGATGAAGTCACTTGCATTTCTCAAGGTGTCCTTGGTTGCCTTTAAGAGAGCATTACAGGAGTGCTTGGCTAGAAGGCATCTTGGGGGCTTTAGGAAGTGGGTAAAAACTAAAGGTAAAGGAAAAGACAATGTATCTGAAGTGTTTTGTAACACATGAAGGAAGGTGATTGGCTGCAAACCAGAATCAGGGAAGAGCCAAAGGAAAGATTATTCTAAAAGTGCATGTGAGATAATGCATACACAAGCTTCTTTTGCCACACCTGACACACAGTAGGTCTTCCTTAATGTGATTTTCCTTGAAAGTGGGGAGAATCGATCAATATCTGAAAGCTGAAGAGAATTGTTGAAAGGAAGGGAATTAAGATGTTGAAAAAAGAAAAAAACTGAGGAAGTATAGCTCAAAACTGATAGGATGGAGGTGGTTTTGAGTACAGGTAGAGAAGGTAATTGTTAAGAACAAAGAGAATTTTCTGAACTGGGGGCAAGAAAAGGGAGGCAAGGAAAGTAACACCTTTGAGGACCCATCTCATACCAAGTACTTCACAGACATTATTTTTACAGGCTGCATCCATTTACAGGCAGAAAAACTGAAGTGCAGAAGGGTTAGGGAACTAGCAGAGAACACAGAACAATGCTAGGATCAATTCCTGACCTGGCAGGCTGGTGAAAGCTGGGTCATTGCACTGCCCAACAAACACTACAGGAGGAATGTGCCACAGGACTTGCCTCGGAGGGTGTGGAGCCCAGGGAGGGCCTGGCATCCCCTTCATCATTCAAACTGGAACTTTTGAGAATGTTGGTATAAACTGAGATTTTTGAGGTAGACTGCAAGGAATGGTGAGCCAACGGTAGGCCTCTCTATAGTGGTCATCCTTCCTTTTCAAGATGTATCTCGAGAGGAGTTTTTAGGAAAGAAGGAACGTGGAAGAACAATGGTTGGGTAGTAAGTTGAGAAACTGAAGAGAGCCAAGTGTGATGATGAATTTTATGTGGCATCTCGACTGGGTTGGGGTGGCTGATAAAACATTTCTAGATGACTCTGTGATGGTGTTTGGGGAAGAGATTAGGATTTGAACTGATACACTGGGTGTCACCCTCACCAATGTGGATGGGCATCATCCAATGTGTGGAGGCCCCAGTGGAGCAAAAAAGCAGAGGAAGAACAAATTTGCTCCCTTCTTGAGCAGCAACATCTATCTTCTCTTGCCCCTGGACACTTGCATTCCTGGGTCTCTCGCCTTCACACTTGGGCTGGCTTATACAACCAGCTCTCCTGGTTCTTTGGCCATTGGGTTTGGATGAGGATAATGATACTGACTTTCCTGGGCCCCCAGGTTGCAAGTGTGGTGCTACTC